TATACAGTGCAACTTCCATATTATGACGAAGTTAAACAAAAAAAATTCGTAATATGGAGGTATTCGTTAAGTAGAATTCACACATGATTAACAGTACAGGTCATTGTTCTCAAAAATAATATGTAAAACAGAAAATTTCGTTAAATGGAAGTTTGTTCTATCGAAATTTCACTGACTCGTGTCCACTACGTCTGCAGTAGCTCTATAAGCTTACACTCAAATACCCAACTACATAAATTCTTCGATTAAAAGATTCGACGCTCAGCCTCAGGATATTTAATAATAGGTATGTAGCCAACAAAACTAATACGCGAACAACCAAAACTTGGAAATGTTACATTTTGATCTCTTTGACCTGTATTGACTTTCCGGATACGACCAGTTATACCTCACATTTCATCACAGATGCGATTCCCCAGAACACGACCTTGAATACATTTTATAATTATTGTTATTGTGATACAACATAATATACGATATACACGAATCGTTTGATACAATATTATTATTCTTATGTTGTGCAATACAATATTGATAGTCACTACGTGTACATTTCGCGAGCAGTAGGAGTGATATGATGAAGATAATGACGTACTTTTATGGTTATAATATATTAAAATACACACATGATATACCCACAACTGTGTGTTATACAATCATACACTTAAACGTGTGTAGGTACGTACTAAAAACCATCTGAAACGGTATAAAAACAACTTATAATTATTATTAGTTGTACCTCTCCATAGCTAACGTATGTGAACACCTTGGAAGCAAACTGGTATTTATCAAACCAACAGTTAACAAGGTATATACCTATACAGTATACAATATCATGGATCATTACATACCTATATACCCATATAATATACTACTCAAGCGCTACTACGAAAGTTTACTAGACCTACAATAAGTTGCTATACTACACATACTAGCCCATACTAATTATTTAGCTATAAGTATTATAGTATGTAAGAACAGCATAGGTATAGTTTTCGTCAAATTAAATTATACACATACCCTCGCTTGTAATTATACGCATAATATAAACAATATGATACTTACTGGAGTAGGTACGTATGTGGTGTATAACTATTATCTTCTTCAACAACAATAGCCACATCAAAAATATGAGTTATTATTTTTGTTGTTTATAAAGAAGATTTTCGTTCAGCAGATCCAACATGGTGTCTCAGTCAGCTTTAACATTATACTGAATTTACCTATATTATAATATTATTAAAACTAATAGAAGTTATAGAACATATAGCTGCGCAGCATTTGTAGGCAAACCTCAGGCCCTGATTTAGTGAAATGAGGGCACTGTGCACTATAAACTTTGGGGGCCTTTTTTAACAAAAATTGTAAAAAATAATAATAGGTACATATATAACAATAAAAAGTTCAATTCATTTCTTTAATTATAATAGACATTTTTTTCTTGTTTTTTGCAAATTCAGCAATTATGTAGTTACTACTTACTAAATCTTATTAAAAATATCTTTTATTTGTGGTAGCAAAGTATAGAATAGGAAGGCTGAAGGGGCCTTTCAAATTTGGGGGCCCTGTGCTAGTGCACCGCCTGCACATGCGTAAATCAGGGCCTGGCAAACCTACATTGATTTTTTGCGATATTAAATTTGTAAGCGAGTTATGACTTTACGGACATTTTTAAATGGTAATATTTTATACAATTATCAGTTATCAATAACAATTAAACATCCATGATTTTTAACAGTGATTCAAATGTAATTTCAGTACAAAACAAAACCGAATTCAGACCCAAGAACCAGGTATTTTTCAAGCCTTTAAAAGAAAATGAAATTATGTACAGTGTGTCAATGTACTATAAACAATAAACATACTAATAACTACATATTATTGTCGTAATACAATAGACGTAACTAGAGTAGAGTCCAACTATGGGGAATGCTGAAGTTATATTTTAATGTTCACTAGCTGACCGCAGCACTATCGGATAATTCAGTTCAACGTCTCAAGGCTCAAGAGATGAGACGATAATCATCACATAAAAATGTATTTTATGTATTTTACATTCCGACATTGATTTTACAACAATGTGTTTCTTTATTTTTTTATTTGCGTCTGTATACACGATAAGTAGTCGAAATAATGCTTCGATTTTCAACTTCAGTATCTGTTCCGGTGTGAAAGTAAATCACGGGGGGGGGGGGGTCAAAGTTAAAAATTCAAAAAAGTTTTTAAAAGAGCAAGGAGAAACAATAAAAAAGGCAATTATTACTCAAAATCTGTTTTTGACAATATGGATTTTGATTTTTGGTGTAACTCTAAAAATCAATTCGATGTAGATGAAATTTTCCCTGAATGTTTATATTAGCAAGTTATATATGTACTTTAACATTTTCGTAATTTTTATGCGACTATTTTTGAGCTATTTGTAGATTGGGGAAAAATTGGAGATTTATTAGTTTTCTTTTAATCTTTGTCATCGATAAAATATTATTCGTTACGTCAAAAAGCTTGAAAATGTAATACAAGGCTCCATATACTCCATGTATTGTTATTGTTTCAATAACAGTTAAAAACATTAAAAATACATAGTCAACATTTTTTTTTATCATTTAAAGTTCAAATTAAGATAAAATACCTAAAAATCACCAACTTGTGTAAATTATCTGAGTTAAAAAATCATACAATAATTTATGATAATAAAATAATTATACATAAATATAATTTTTCTTTTTAAAATTCATTGCAAGATTCCTTTTAAGTATTATTTAACTTTAACTTGTTGACGATGGTGATTTATCAAAATTATATTATAAACATTGTAAATATTTTAGGAGCCCTGACAATTAAATTTTGAACAGTACCAGTTTTCCACGGTTTTTTTTTTTTTTGTTATTTATTGTTTGGACCGTACCAATATTCCGAGCATCACAGCAAAATGACATCCACAAACTCGTTTTTGTAGTGTAGTATTTATAAGTATTATTTTTACTAAATATTTTGGTTTTCCAAATTTACAATACGAATATGTGTTACGATGTTTATACATAATATTTCTTCGAAGTGATATTTTTAATTGATATCTAACTCATAATAAGTCATGTTTAAATTTGGAATTTAAATTCCATTATAAATTATTACAGTTATGTAAGTTATAAATTATAATGTAGTCTAGGTGAACTGTAAAGTCGTACATAAGATGTAGGTACACAACATCTTATGTTTACGATAGAATCTTTAAAAATTATCAAGTAGGCATAGGTAATAAGTAGGTAATTACTAATAAACATTACCAGTTCAGTATACGGATTACTGACACCCTTTGTCTTTAAGTTAACAATCAATTTTAAATTTTAAAAATTGTTTAATTCCATGGATAACTTTTTAATCGTCAAAGACCGCAATAATCAATGGCTGCGTGTATTTGACGAGGGGTCATTTATAAAACAAATTTATCAAGAACTGAGAAGTAATAACTACATTTTTTAAGGTTCCGTGTTGGCAAAGTTAAAGATTAAATCAATATTTTAGGTATTTATTACTGCTTACTAGAAAAATATAAAATTGGTTAGAGCCTAGACGCTGTAATGATGACTTAGGGGTTACGGGGTGCCAAGACGACTCACATTAATATATGATAGGTAGACCATGACGACGTCGTTACAGCAAAAGGACGGATTCAGTTTTGCGTTAAAGAGAGAGAGATAACAATTTTTAAGGAGGGTACAAATAGGTACCAATCGGGTACAAAAAATGAGATAGGTAACGGAGGAGGGGTACTTGGTAAGCTGCATCACTAAAAAAGTTTACTAGTTAAATAGTATGAAAAAGTAACTTTACTTGGTTAAAAATCGGTTGAATTTTCGTTACTGAATGTCTACAATGAACCTTAATATTAACTGAACATAACGAGTTAAATAAATTAATTAACTTGTCCAGTTGTCTAGCTTTAAAAATATATGATTAATAGAACTATAGAATTGGGACTTTCCACCTGTGCAAACTATGGGTATAATTTATTTATTGTTATTCCAAGCAATATTTCAATATGGTTTGTTGGCTATGGGGGTATCAATGAATGAATAGACCACTAAAAATACTACAGAGAAAAATCATTAGATAGGATGTTTATGCAAAAATACTTCAGTGGGCTCAACAGTCAACAGGAGAAAATGTTAAATTGTTCAATGTGTTACCATTCGAGAGTGTGTATAAGAAAGTAACTATTTTATATGTAATACAAAATTATGAAACATTTGTGGATGTGGAAAATATTAAAAAAAAAAAGAGAAGTAAGGGCATTTGATGTGAATATAAGTTACTGCAGAAAATCATCCGGTCAAAAATACATTAATTATTTAGGTACAAAATATTATAATACAATGCCACTAAATATAAAAAACTAATTAACTCTTTAACTGGGAATCTTAGAATTATTAGTACAAAAAAATTAATTAATGTATGGTTATTCTCTTTATTAAATAGTAAGTAAAAATGAATATCAGTTCTTTAATGATAATATAAATGTAACATTCTTAAATTTATTTTTTACTGTTTCGTGTTTTTCTATGTAATAATCTTTAAATTTAGTTTTAATATTTAATAATATTTATTTGTATTTATGATTATATAATGTAACTCTCTACCACCATCACAAGCATTGTGCTTAAAGGAGGTAGATAATTTATTGTAAAATTTAAATATAATGTAATTTGTTTTTTTTATACTTTCTTTGCAATAAATAAATTAAAGAAAAAATAATTGAAGATATTTAAGTGTGGCTATTTTGACCACAGCTAACCTAATGACAGGTTAAATAAAGAGTCTATCTATGGCCAGATACAGTAATATCAACAAAAAATTACTTCACAGGACAAACTCTCACGCCCTGTTTTATGTCAATTTTTTTTTTTTTTTAAAGATGAGGTTTGTTTAGGTAAAATCAAAGCTTAAATTTTTATTTTACAATAAAAGTTGTAAAAAAAATAATAAGTATTGTGCATTATTCAAATGCATATTTTAGCTCCTATAGTTATAATTTTGAAAACCAAACTTTGATCAATCCTGAATGTTTTCTTCTTTTAAACCAACAAAAAATTAACAAAATTCAAGTTTTCTACAGGCATGCGAGTTTTGTAAAAAAAAGGCACTGGCTCAGATGACTTTAATAACATGTCAAATACAATATTTAGTACATTAAATATTTTTATCCATAAGTCTTTAGCAACCGTTTCACAAGGAACAAGTATACAACTTTGAAGTAATATACAGAATTAATTTTTACAAACGTTTTTTTTTTAAATAATACCCTATTTATTTTTAATAAATATAATAGATATAAAAAAATAAAAAAAATATACATAAAAATGAACGCGTCTTATACATTATTGAATAAAGTAGCTTGGTTTGCTAAATGGTAATGACACATTAACATGTTCTTTGGCTGATAATTTGGATAGTAAAACTGTTTTAATTTTTTTCTTAGAATATTTTCAATTCACATATAATGTAGCAAATATTCATGTCTTAATCAAATCAAAATTTTCCAGAGCTACCAGCATGTCCTAAAAATAAGCAACATTCAACTTTATTATCCATCTCATATTTTTATTATTATTTTCAAAATGTATCAACATGTTTTTACATTATAAAAGAATCATTAACATTGTTTTGATCGGATTAAATTATTAGTTAGATAAATTCAGTTTAAAGATATTTATTATAAGTTGAGAACTATAAAATAGTTTTTATTTAAGCTCACTTCTTCACATTGAGGACATTTTCCTTGTAAATGTTCAAACATAGGTGTACTACCAGAATTCAGAAACCACTAAAAAAATACAATTTTTTTAATATTTTACCTATTAAAATCAAACAAATAGTATCAATAATACCTCACAAATGCATGACATATGATACAATGCATCACATTTTGTATTAACACATGATTTGGTTTGGTTTTTTATAGCTATGTCTAATTGATCATAACATATACAGCAACAATTTAAATCATTTTGACTTGCAACATAATGTTCTGATTTTTCTTCTTCATATTGTGACTGAAGAGTAGGAACTTCAAATACATTCAGAATATTTTCTCTAAAACTGTTTTCGGTACTCCAAATCAAAATCTATACATAAATAGCAAATGTGCAACAATTATGTTTATTGTTATACATAAAGTTAAGTATATTATAAAAAATAAATATTTATATGATTTTTGACATAACAATTTTAAAATAATAATCATAATTCATATTATTACACATAGTATATTAATTGTTTATAATATATATATATTGCGGTAAAAGTACCAATACCTGTGAATCCTAGGATTTACAGATAAATGTCCGAATTCACAATTTTGTAAAGTTCAAAAATGATTACTGATTGTGTAATACATTTTCTCTAGCTTTATATTGATATGCAACTACAATTCTATACACTAACTTAAAAAAAAAAAATTTCTATTTAAATATAATATTAAGTATCATATTAGCTACTTCTAGTATACTAGAACAGCAGTTCTTAAAATAAGGTCCGTGGCACTCATGTCATGGGTCTTTTTGATTATCATAATTTAGTACAGCTGTGGACTCTTAGGTGAACAAATATATAAAAAATCAAATTATTTTGTTGGCTTTCATTATTAATCCAAGTATTAAAGTACCTACAGCAAATCATTTTAATACATACATTTATTTAAAACTTTAAGACCTCTATTAAATAACGTTATTTGTAAGTTTTAAAAAAAAGTACCTATGATTATTAATTTTATGTGAAAAAAAAGTAACTAATTGTTATCTAAGCTAAGTTCCTTTTAGTTTCTAGTTAACTTGTAACATTAACAAGTTTAATACAAATAGAAAGTAACTTTTAACTTCAAACTTAACTCACATTTTTATAAATTAATTTTCTTAACGAGATTAAAAAAAAAATTATTATCAATCCCAGCATTGAAAATTTATAATATTATTATATACTACAACAGATTTATATTATTTTATGTTTCTAAAAAAATTGAAATTATTTTTATAAATTAAGTATATTTTTAATTTTTATTACAAAAATTATTTTTTATTTTTGTAGGTTAGGGTACTGTAATAACTCTATTTGCACAATATATTTTTAGATCAGCAATTACATCGATTTCTATTATTTATTCTATTACCGAACATATATAATATGTATATAAATATCATAGACCAAAGTAGTAAAGAATACTATCAGAATTATTGCCAAGTATACAAATAAAGAGCAATAATAAGAAAAACAAAAATTAATCAGTTTACATAAAATACCCCTTTTATGTTAAACTAATTAAGTTCAAAAAAAAATGTACCAACTGGATTGATTTCATTTAATCTTTTTTGAAACTTTTCTGTAGAAGCCGGGCAACCATGGAGATGAAATTTTGGACAGTTCAAAGGATTTAATGGATCAACTTCAACTTCAACACATACATGAATATCTGAAACAAAAAATAGATTGTAGACCTAATATTACAGTGTTTTTAAGATAACTTTATAGCTGATTAATCTAAATTAGACTTATGTTGTGGTTAGGATTTATGTTTTAAAAAATATAAAAATGATGATATGTTCAATAATATGTTTTTAAAAATATTGTGTTATGTATTTGTTATACAAAAAAAATAATCATGTTAGCTAATAAATGATAAGGATGTGAATTTGTAGGAAAGTTAATTTTTTTTAGTTATTATGATGCGCATCTTTGTAAGGACATAATTTTAATTATGAAACTACAAATCCATTTATGCAACTTTTATTTTGCATTTTTTTTCATTTATAGGTCATATTTTCCGCTTTTACTTCATTTTCTAGTATTTGTAATCGAATTTTGTCAATTGACGGAAAAAATATTTGAAAAAAAAATTTGTTTTTATACACAGGTTGTATATACGTAGATAAAATAAGGCAATTACTAGATAACTACATAAGTTATTTGCAGGTTATTTATTTCTAACATTTTTAAAAACTGTTTCAGGTGAATAGCATTAAGTATAGAAAATTCAAATTCAATCAAAATTTTTATTTATTTATTTTTTTTTTTATTAAATAAAAACTTTTTTATGCATGTAATGTACTAATGTATAATATCCTGTACCTAATATTAATATAAATATAAAAATTAAATTAAAAACCATTTTAAATGAATTTCATACTATAGATTTTGGCATTTTATATTGCATTTTAAATGAATATTTTATTGCATTTTTTTGACATTTTTAATGCACTTTTTAAGGTTCTTTAGTGCATTAAATTCACAGCCCTAATGATAAGTAATAGACAATAATATAGACAAATAAAATAAAATAAATTGAGATAGAAGTAATAGAAAATTGTACAAATAAACTCAAAAATATGATCTAAAAATTTCATGGCATCGAAATATACAGCAATATTAAAAATTTCCAAAATATACAAAATATGATAACATATTAATTTTCATTAACTGACACCAATTTCTATTTCAATTAGTTATATTTTGAGGTTTCCTAAAAAAAATGATTGAACATAATAACCCAACACATTTAGAAATAAAAACAGTTATTCTCACTTACCAATAGGTATTCTATAATTAACATCTTTAAACGTATATGATCCTATGGTATTACAAGTGCTAGTAATTTCGTTGTGCACGTTCCAAAAGTTATTTAATTCATTAACAACATTCTTAAACGCTTCAAATAAGTTTGAAATTGTGTTCATCTGAAGAAAAATACAATTGTGATGTACTTAATATAATATTATGTAAAAATCATTTAGAAGCAAAAACTAAAAGACAAGATAGTATATTTGCATGTAAATCTGCACACTCATTATTTTGAATCGAAAACAGCCAATAGACAAAAACTTCAAACTATTAAAGATTCTGAGAGGTTAATTTTACAAAGATGTGTGTTTTTGTTTTTTTTTCACGTTTCATGTCAATCACATTTTGGGGCAATAAAAGTTATTGGATTTCCTTCAAAAGCATCTTTTCTGGTAGGAAAGTGAAACTAGTTGGTACTATAATAACTTTCAAAAGCGGCAGAAAAAACAGAAATTTTTTACGGAAACTTGGTTTTCAACAAAATAAATTTGGTTTTTTATGTAAAAAAAAATATCATAGATACAAGAATTTTCAGCTGAATGTTTGTATCTGCATTTCTATACACCATACAATTTTCAACATATTTTGACTCGTGTTGAACTATTTATAGGCATATGAAATTTTCAATTATTAATAGTTTTTATTTAACTATAATGTCAATAAAAATGTTGTGCTCAGTCAAAAAACTTGAAAATATAATACAAAGTTCTACATAAGTTGTTGTTTCTGGAAAGTCAGAAAAATTGGGCGTAAACAAACAATATTTTTTTATAAGCGTTTAAATTTAGAATTTTGACAGAATTCATAAGAACCATATTTTTTTAGTTAACAATTTTTCATTTTATATCAACGATTTTAAAATTTAATACATGATTTCTTATAAGTTTGTCTACCTTTATCAAAAAAAAATTTTACTGGAAAGTCAAAATAAATGTTTATGAGAGTTTGAAGTTGACATTTTTACAACATACGATACTCACTCCAATTCTCATACAGAAATTTTCTTATTTTGTTGAAATTCAAAAACGAATAACTGCAGATGCTTGAAATGTACACAATATTTTGATTCGTTTTTAGCTGTTTAAGGATATTTTCAATTTTCAATTTTTTTAGTTTTTTTTTTCTATAATTGTCAATAAAATTTTATTTGTTAAGTCAAAAAGCTTTAAAATGTAATACAAGATTCCTGATATATATTTATAACATCAGTTGAAAAATATTAAAAATATATAGGCACCATTTTTTTTATAAGCATTATAAGTTCAAATTTTGAAAATATTTAATATCACTCAAAATGTATAAATAATTTTATAGTTGAAAATAAATAAAATGTTCAACTGCTATAGCTAATAGTTGAAAATTAAAAACAAAGTTCCACTCAAATAGGTTTTTCTGTAACCAAAAATTCTAAAAATATGTAATCACAGTTTTTTATTTTCAATTATGGACGAAATTACATAATTATATAACCAAGAATAATGATTTATGTTATTATATTTCATACACACAATGACTTTTCAAATGTAATTTTTTGGCAAATTGGATTTTACCTTAAGTAGTACTAATTAATAATAGGAAAATAAATTTCTTTAATCACAATAATATCATCAAATTTACTAAATTACTAATTGATATTTTAGGCTGACAGATTGTCGCTCAGAATAGTTTTTCTTACACAATGATTTTAAATCATTTAATTTAATTTTAACACCATCCATTTCAGTGACCCACTAGTAGCCTATTGTTCAGTAGAGCGACATCCACTTGCCCGCTTTTTAATATACAAAACAGATAATACATAATATGACAAATGTTGAAAACGTGTACTAAGCTAACCAAAAGTGTAATAATAAAGTGAACAAATTTTCATACATTAACCTTAAAAAAGTGTGTGGTTTTGTATAGCATTTTATCCAATGTGATCATTTTTGCAATATTTTTTACATTATTTTATTTATTTCTGGTGATTGGATCACACAATAAATACTAACAAATTCTTACATTTATTATAAATCAAATATTTACCTTCAAAAACAAGTTCAAGCTAACTGATGGTACCATAGTTTCAAAACATAATGGTTGTTTTTTAATCTTGGGATATTCATCAGGTATAAAAATTTTAATAAAATGGCTGTGTTTGCACGTATCCAAAACATTAAAAGTTATATGTTTTAGGTTTTCGTCAATTTTATGTACATATTGACCATATAAATTGACTTCCTCAATCACAGAATGGAACTTTTCATCAGCATATACATAGCTCAAATTTGACAAGTTTGTAGAAGAATCTTGTTTCCAAACTATTACCTGAATAATAAAAATAATTAATATCAGTCTATTTGAGAATTTAATCATTTTTCCAAAAGCATATTTTAATTTTTTAGAGCAGCGTTTCCCAAATAGTGGGTCGCGACCCACTACCGGGCCATCAAAATTAAATACCGGGTCGCATAATTTAATGAAATTCTCATATTACCTTTGTTATTTATCATTTTTGTTTGATAATTTAAACTATTAAGTATGAAGAAGTCAAATAGATGGGAGAGATGATTCAAAAGTGTTTTATTTTGCCTTTTATTATATAATGATAAATGTAAAATATTTTGGTGGGTCATGAAGGTGAAAAATATAAATTACCGGGCCAGCGCAAACAAGAGTTTGGGAAACGCTGTTTTAGAGCAATGTTTTGGAATGCTAGATTTTTATTTAAGTTTGGTTTTTTTGCGCTTCCTCATAGATAGATGATACTATTGATACTGTATGTCCAGATTGGTTTCTGTAGTGTTTGTAGATGAGGAGTTTGATATTAGGGGTAGTGTGTTTGTTAGAGATAAGAGATTTGACGATACAAAAAAGGTTGTCCGGTAAATGTTAGGTAACATTTTTTTTTTGGACAATATAAGTACTAATATTATTTGTTTCGTAAATAAAAAAATGATGAAGTTAACAAATTTTAATCCATTAAAATATACAAAATAAATAAATAAAATTTAATTTCCTATTTCACTAATTTAACTAAATATAATAATAAATTATTACTTATAGCTTTTACTACTTAAAATTTATATTTTTTTAATCAATTAGTAATGTCCAAATTTAAAAAAAAGTCAAACAGTTTCATCATAAAAAAAACTTGTTTTAAATGGACTACCTCCTTGTAAAGGGCATATACTATCTAGTATAATATTTATGTAAAAGGCCACAAACAGTGAACCACATATTATATAAACAATATTTGTTGGAAGTATTCACACAATTTTTAAGTGTTTAGAACGTAACTCCATTCACGATTAGGAACCTTGGCGACCAACTTTGTATGTTTTTACTACACAGTAGGTGTAAATGATTAACTTGGATAAAGGTGACAAACTAGCGTTTCCTGTTGGCCGCCAGATGGAAACTGGTCACCTTCTTCTAAACGTGAATAGAGTAAATAATAAATATAATATCATAATTTATTAAACAAAATATTTAGAAATTATATTACCAAAACTGGAATTAATTCCTTTAAAAACTCTGGCAATGAATGAGTTTTTTGTTTAATCTAAAAACAAAAAATATATTAAAGTTTTAAGGAAATATCAACACATGATTTTGAGTACAAAACTACAAACCATATCTATAGAATAGAAATCAATTTCAAACAGTTCCAAGTGCAAGCAAGATTTTTTTAGTTCTATACTGTTAAAACAAGTCTTTGTTGTAAAATGGATAGCAAGAAAATACCAAAAATATATGGTCTAGTTTTACTTGTTTTAAGCAGTATATATCTCATTCTAACCACTGCTAGTTGTAGCGATTTCTACTTTATATCGTAAGTTAAAAGTTTGTAATTAATATACAGATAGACAACATTATTTGTATAACTCACTATTTCTACTGTTTCCTTCAAATCAAATTGATGGAAGTTGAAGGCATCAAGTTCTGGAATTTGAACTTTTAAATTGTCTAGTAGTGGTATATTAGGGCAAGATATCTCTATGTAAACACTGTACGCCTATAAGTATTTATTACAGTAAATAAAATATTCCACATTCAAAGAACATTATGGCTACCATTGAATTATGAATTGTCAAATACATATCAATTAACTTACATTTAGCGATATATATCCTTTCCAAGATTTATAATTTTTGCTTGGAATCAACAATGAAAAGTTCTCCAGCATACTCAGATCAGTCATATTGAACTAAACTGATTTATTTAATAAAACAATGAAATTATATTTGTATGACTATTCGAACATTTCAAGTAAATATTAATTAATGTTAATAAGTTAATGTAAGCTTAATCATATTTTACAATAAGTACGTTACTTAATACAAAATTAGTGATAAGCACTTGCTCAAAAAATGATAAGGACCCGACAAATGATAATGGTCAGAAATCGAAAGTAAACTAAACAATGGTAATCGGTAAAAAAGACCAAGGAAAAAATAACATAAAAGAATAATAAGGTAATAAAACATTCTTAAAAATTAACAATATAATACTAATTGATTATGAAAATTAAAACAATAACACATTTGTAATCAATGGTAAAGACGTAAAGTGATCACTTGTTATGAACGCATTTTAAAAAAATTATAAATTATTAAAGCAAAAATGCAAAATGCATAAATCACATAAATGCATTGTAACATACAATACAAAATATTTTACATAGGGAATTTCCAGTACCTAATAAAAGTGTATTTTACTCTGTATTGTACCACAAGTTATATTATATTTAATATAATAAATTAGGTAATATAATATACTACCTTTATAAAAATTAAGAATGAAAGATTTATTTTTTTTTCACTGTTTTTATGAAATAAAAACAAGATTTTTAAAAAGAAATTAATTTTTTATACTTCAATATTTTTAAATTTTAAATTAAATATACATTTTCTTTAGGCGATTTGAAACCAACCGTTTTGAAGGAGTTCAATGTAGGCAATTTCTATGTGCATTCGGCCAGTGTAAATGTGTGTGTAGTAGGTGATCACTTTTATATATTTGTATATATTTTTTTTAATTTTCATAATCAATTAATATATTTAAAATTTTTTTTAATAGTCCTTTTTTCCGTGATTCCTAAATATTATAGCATATACTATAATATTAACTACAACTACAACTACAGTCTACTACTGCTTATAAGTTGTTTCTATAATATAATCAGGGATAGGCAAGATACTCAAAAATCAGTATCGCAATACTAGATACTTGGATTTGGAGTATCGAAATACTAGATACTCGATACTTACATTTTAAGTGTTTAGATACTGAATACTCGATACTTACATTTTAAATATTTAGATACTCGATGCATTTGAAAAAAATAGTCATAGCCTACGACGCATAGAATTTTTTTAAAATTTTATTTAACGAACTGTTAACACTGGCGCCCCTCCCCTATTTGAGATTGAGCTAATTCTTCCAAAATATGTAGCCTATTACCTCACAAATGTGCAAAAATGCATTGGATAAAACCACAAACAGATTTTAAAATACTGTATATTTAATATTATCCTATTGGCTACTACAACACACAGATTAGAGTCATATATTTTTATTTTTTAACATGCCAAAAAAGCCATAAATCGGAATTTGAATTCATCACACATAAATAATAATATGATTGCTTACAAAAAATGTTGATCTCTAAACGTTTTGTTATATATTTTTAAAGTTTTAAACTTAAACTTAAAAAAAAATAAAACAGTGAGCAGTTAAAATAATACATTTTTGTGGTGGTTTTAATTGAACTGTCTAGCTCAAGTGACGTTAAGAAACACCTGTCTTAACTTGTCAAGTTAGTATAAAGTGTTATGAAGTGTTATTGATTTTACACATTGATCATTTCAAACAAATGTAGGTACATTATTTTAATGTCTAAGGTTAGGAGAACCTAGGAGAAATGGGTACATGCTGGTTCATGTCTTCATTCCTTCAATTAGGCGTATAATAGTCATAGTTGTTGTTATACAGATAAACATAAATTTCGTGTAAAAATTAGTTTGAAATGAATTGTATAAAAACATACATAGATAAAACTTTTTTCAGCTCTATTGTTAAATAATATTGATGCATTAAATAAATCATATACGACATTTTGACGTAAGGTAAAAATTTGGTCGATGCAAAAACGATTTCATAACCCAAAAAATCGAACAATGCACAACCATCTTACATTACACAATTAACAATAGTGATGAGCAAAAACGACAACCGGCTCATAGGTATTTAATAGGGTATTTATGTTTCGCCTCTGATCTAACTACTTACTATTATACTCTTGTAGTCTTGTAACTGCCCACCGCCCACAGGGGCCAAACTCCTTTTTAATCTCCTACACGGTACTTACACAAATAATATTGTACCTATGAAATATATTGAAATCAAACTACGTATTTAGAAGTGCGTTCGTTTCTACAATGCGTCAATGCCCGTCATTGAAATCTTTAGCCATAGGTTAGAATGTTAGATACTTGTTTGGCCCTATATCGACATTGTTATAGTATTGTAATCATTCAATGTTTTAAAATATTATAGTAATTAGTTCGTATTAATTGTTTTTTTTAAATGTATTTATTTATTTATTGTTAAAATCTCATTGTTTGTAACCCTATATCTTAAAATTGTTTGCTTCTCATTGGCTATACCTAGAAAAGAATCCTGGCACCGCCACTATTTAAATATAACTATTGAAAAATAATTTAAAATTCCAATAATCAGAATTTGAATAAATTAGTTATTCTTATTACTTATTAATAAAACAAAAAATGGCTAGTGAATCACTCTGTACATGTATACAAAACACAAATTATATTACAATAATTAGGTATTGTTCAAATTTAGTTTATTTCTCTTAATAAAATAATCAATAATATATACACAGTATGATAAAATGTGTTTGGAATTCAATGTATTTTAAAATAAATTTTTATGAACCCCGCAATTGCCGATTTAGTTTTGTAAAGTAAAATATATCCCTCGAGCCAAAAACTACCTATACAGAACACAAACAGCTACAGTAGAATTCTTTGTAATCTTCTCAGGTGGTCCACAGATTTGCACTGCAGGAAGCTTATATTATATTTTAGGCGTCAATACTAAGGACACGTTGTTCAGTTGTTGTATAGGTACATAATTTATTAAAAGGCATGGCGCCATGGCAGTGACTAGTGCCACTGAGTACTGACCAACTTAAAATTGGATTTCGAATCGTCAAACCACTTGTATTGTACAGTATTACCTATACTATCGACATGATAAATGTATTCGGGTATGACGTGCGTAATTGTGTTCACGTTACGCATTTGTGTCATATCATACGTTTGTGTAAAATCACCGTCCACTATTTTTTCTTTGTATATTGTATTCTGTAGACTAGTTTGTTGCAGGGACCATGGATTTTGCAATTTGTACATAGTATTTAGAAAAGGATATATTTGAATTGTTATACACGTTTATTTTTAATTCTTTATTGGTGGTCACTTAAAATAATATAAAATAAAATAAAATTTTACAAAAAAATTGTATTTAAATGAAAATTAAATCAAATTCGTATAAATACTTGTAATTTTATCATGTTAGGTACATTATAGGTACAAACAATTTTGGACCGAATGTCAATAATTTATCTTAAATGATAAGTTTAATTTTATTTAAATAATATAACTATTAATACGCAATTTAATCGAACATCAACGTGGAAAAAATATTGTGAAGTTCCTAATAAACTGTAAATCAAACAGTTTTGTGAAACAGTTTACCTACCTGCCACCTGGCTACCTATGCAACATATTGTTTGGGTATAAAAAAAAAAACTAATTAATTCAATTTGTAGTGATTATGAATGTCATTTTAACCTAATGTCGACGATGAATACCATATTATTCAATATTCATATATACCTATCACACTCGATTGTATTGAGGTCCGTCGAGCGGTATCAATATCAACGGGTACGTGTCAGGTGGGAGAGCCAGACGGGCCTCGGGTATCGCCAATTGAGGAGTGGCCTTTACTTTGTACCTCTGTAGTATGCCGGCCAGCAGTACAAACCCGATTCCAGAAACCAATTGCTGTCCAATGCACGTCCTTTTACCAGTGCTGAAGGGCAGAAAGTATTCAGGTTTTCGAATGCTCGGCTTTGAGCCGGGTCTGCAGTGTATGAAACGATTGGGGTCGAACACGTTCGGATCGTCCCAGTAGGCTGGACTGGTGTTTATTTCGTAGTTGTTGATTATAATGCACGTGCCTTTTGATATTTTGAATCCTATACGAATATATATTATAATAAAACACCATATTCACCTATAAATATAATATATTATTTAACCGTAAGTGCGCTGGCACGTGATAGTTCCTTATTTATTTTTTTTTTTGGGGGGGGGGGGGCGATTGCATCCACCACTCACTCTCCTAAATTACGTGCTCGGCAGTGCGGTACCAAGATTCAATTTTTGTAAGGGTTTTTCATAATTTCTTAAAGTGGCATATTGACATTTTATATTTTTATGTCTGATATTATGGTTATTTATTTAATCACTGTAATGTAATTATTATGATCGACACATTTTTGGTCAAAAAGCTTCGACGTCGCCAATGAAATTGGAAGAATGTAATATTAAAAGTTTATTTTTTATTATTGATCCTAACTGAGTTTACAGTACATAATATTTAGTAAATCAACACTATCTACTTTTTTAATTTTCGGAACAGTCCTACTTGGGTTTTATATAATATAAATTATATTATATATTTATATAATTTCAGCAGACTTTTCACAGAAACCCCCCCTTTCTATAGCATTTTCAAGTTTAGAAAGAGTCTCTAAGGTAATTTTTGCTCAAATTATTCAAGACTATCGTTTTTCTCACCTTTGATGGTAGTGTCTTCGGTTGCAACACGGGGCACAATGGGCGACGAAATGATGCGCAGAGTCTCTAACAAAGTAGCCTCGGTGTACGGCATGTCTGGCTTGTCGTAGAGGCGTACCAAACGTTGGCTACCAGTGACTTGTTCGGCCTCATCCCGTATTGCTTGGGCCACGTGTGGTCTTGTGGCCACCATTGATAGGGTGAGCATGACCATGTTACCAACGGCCGAATGCCCACCAATGAAGTCTTCCAACTCGAAAAGCACGTGGTCCATTTTGAGCCTGGGATCATAGCGCAGGTTCATAAGCAAGGCGTCTGTAAAGTCTATGGAGTTTTCCTCATCATCATCTTCTTTGTCATAGCTTTTGTAGCCACCAATGATCTCTGCCTCCACAACTTTCACGTAGCTGCTCCTCTTTGACACGACCTCGTCCATCATGAATTGTCTAATGTATGCCGACCACGCTGACAGCTTTCGCATATGGCCTCTGTAGAATGGCGTCAGCCACGGTAAAAAGTCTACCACGTAACCTTGGTTGATGTCCCAAAATATTTCGTCAAACGTCCTGACCATAGTCTGGAACTTGTGGTAATCATAATCAAACTGCGTCGAACACATGAACCGCATGAACATGTTGGCGCAAGCCATCAACAAAGGCGGCTTAATTTGCACCTCATGCTCGAAACCATGAACGGTGATCACGGCCAACGATTCCAAAAACACTTCCAGCTCTTCAGACGCAATAGAATCCAGCATACCGTAGTTGGTTGAACATACTTTGGGTGAACAGTATATTCGAGCAATTTTTCTCCTAGTTTCTTGAAGCCACGACCAATCGCACAGAGCCAACGCTGAAAAAATATTTATATATGGGTACACATCGTGATTAGTCCGATTATCATAAATGAAAAGACTATTAAATTTGATTTAAATTTCTATATGCAAAAAATTCACTATTTAACTCTATCTTTTAAGTATTTCACATAAGATATCCTTACTGGAATTACAGTATAATTATAAAAATATCAAAAATAAATATTTAATAAAATATAAAAAAATATTCTTTGAAATATAGGCACATATCTTCTTAACTTGTATAAGCAAGTGTATTACCACGGGGAGAAAAAAAACTAACTGTAAAATCTACCATAAAATATTGATACCTATTGGAATGTTAATTATTATTTTATATTTGAATGGGCTTATTCATGTCATTAAAACAAACCATTATACTAAGCCCTACATTTTTACGGGGGCCAATAATATATCATACCTATAGTAAATAACGCCACTAATAATGAAAGCAATATTACATTTTGTGTTTACAATTTACGTTAATATAGAACTTTTTTAAAAAAGTACTTGAAATAATATGTATATATTTGAATTATTATTAAATATTTATGTATTTAATGATGATCATTAATAAACTTTCTAGAAAACTAATTAGTAATTATGTACACTGGACAGATACATCGGTATTTGTATCAACGTTTTTAACAATTCTTCAACAATATAGGAATGTAGAACGCATTGAAAAAGTAACTTAATTGGGACGGATGTATAGGGTTTTGTAGGGCTCGGATTTAAAGGCAATATAAACTATAAAAAAGTACTTAAAAAGTAAAAAAATCAAAAAAACTTTAATCTGTAAAAACAGCAATTAAAAAAAGAACAATGCAAATACGTAAAAGGTGATGTCATATTTTACTAGTTTATGTAGAAAAAAAACCATAGACTTACATACATTTTCTTTTAAAAAACCTCAACCGTTTGGAGTTAAAATATTTTTGTATTTTTAGTATGATTTTTTATCATCTACTGATGTTAATAAGCACGTATGTACTAATTCGTATATAAAATTAGCAGAGGAATTTAAAGTTAAACACAAAAAAGCATTTATAAGTAAAAATATCAAAAAAGGGCTAAACAAATATTCATCCATTATCTTGGATATTAAATGAACCACATTTTTATAGATATATTATTTTTCTATTATTAAATAAAAAATAAAAATCGTTTGCATTCAAATCCGATATCCAGAACCATGTTTATAATGTTGTCGAAGAGGAAGATTGTCGTCGGTATAATATAGTATACTCACAATTGTTCCGGTCACCGGAGAAAAGCACGTTGTACCGGAAAAAGTCGGGCCGTCCACCGAACTTGGAGCCGTTGGTGATGAGCACCTCCTTGATGGACGGATAATCGTTGACGATCACGCATGGCATCGATCCCATGGTCATGGCGTACACGGGCCCGTACTGACGTGCCAGCTCAGTGAACCTGCGGAACGGCCTGTCGCGGTGTCCGTTCATGGCGTGCAGCGCCCCGATGACTGGAAACGACGTCGGGCCGTCCAGCTTGGCAGGGACCGGTTGTCGACGTGTGATCCAGGGACCACAACCAAAGGCGAAGGCGGTCACTTGCAACAGAATTAGGACGATCAGCAGTAGAGACAGCGCCGAGGCTACGGTACCGGCATCGGTCACTTCGTAGTTCACGACGTCCATGGCCACTCTGCGTCGGACGCCCACCCGTCGGTGGTTTCGGTGGTTTACTGTGCATGAGCGCACCCACCCCCTGGTGACTACCCCCGTACGACGGTGATCACACCAGCATGCGCACGCACCTACAAACATTTATGGCTACTGAGGCCATGGGCCCTCCCACCCCCAAGTGGCTTCCTTGCAGATTGTAATATTATCGCGTTGAGGTGTGTGCAGGTGGGTGGTGTCACAAAGAAACCACGACCTTGGTTATGGCAAAGTGAGGGGGGGGAATATTTGCGTATTTTGAAAGTGATGCAGATGTATACGGAAAAAAACTATAGGAAGACAGTTGCAATGACGATGGTCATAGGGGTGGAGAATGACATCAAAAAAGGAAGAAAAAGAGGAGGGACGACGATGACGAATAAGAATAAAAGATCACATTCTGTAGAATATTAGGTAGGTACCTGCTAGGCTGGGCACTAACCAGTTAGAAAGTTAAAGTTAAGTTACTTTTAATCAAGTTACACAACGATTTACTTTTTTTAGAATTACAGTAAAGCTCCGATTATCCGAATGCCAATCAACCGGAGATAAAATTAACCGGACGAAAAAAAAAGATTGGTCTTTTAATAACTCGTAAATTGTAATTAATCGTAATCGTATTTCGTTGTTCCGTTTTCAGTTAAAAATTACTATGCAATTATTTGTTTATTGTTACAAATTTCAAATTATATTACATACATATAAATGATAAATACATATAATATTACAATATAACTTTTGATATGTCATATACCAATCATCTGGACATTTACTTATGTCTTATTCGGACCACCATTGATATTAATTAGTCCGGATAATCGGAGTTCTACTGTAACTTCTAACGCCATAACAAGTTAAAATTGTTTTCATATTATAAAGTCACTTATAAGTTAATTCATTTTATTGCAACGCTAAGTTGATTTTTTTCCTAAAACCTCAAATTTTTAATACATTCTTCTTTGTAAAATTAATTTTATGAAAAAAAGTAACATCCATCGGATCTATCAAATATTATTTATAAATATTATAAGTAATAAATAACCGTTTATAATAATGTTTATTGCTTATAACAATGCATACTCAAGGAATATAATAATTATATAATATATTTTTATTTTAAACAAAAAAAATTTAAGGGCCACCAAATCATTCCAAAAAAGTACATAATAACTATTTAATATTTTGCCTACTTAGTATCCCATACACATTTGTATACTCATTAATAATTATTAATTAATAGTTAGGTATTATTATATTTTTATTCATTCGTAGAATTACAATTGAATTGAATAATATTTGATGATTTATATCATTGTGTAAGTAATTTATTATATTCTGATAATGAATTTGATTATTATAAATATAGTACCTACGCCCATCTAATTATGCACTGTTACAGTCAGTTAGCTGGCTAATTTACATATACGAAATGCTTGATTTACAAAATAGTTTTTTAACAACTTACACTCATATTTTAGAATTTTTTAAATCTCAGGTATATTTCTGAATGTATTTAAGACAATAGTGTGATTTTTAATCTTATATTTAAAGTTTTTGGGTACACAGAAAGAGTAATAGTAGTTTTGAGGAGTACATAATAATATTATATAATAACATAAATTAATTTAAATAATTTGGTTGATTAGAATATTAACCAAGTTAAGTTAATATATTTTTGTTTCAACTTTTTTTTAAACCAGGAAAAAGAAAAGTCGAAACAAAAATATACTCACCTGCAGTTTGCAAGTACCACTACAATTATGGAAGATATATAATTTTATTTTCGCACGCTGTCATTGGATGTGATACAACGTCTAAATTTTCCAATAAAGCAAAAGTAAACGATTTATAACTATTAAACCAACGTCCAGATCTTACCAAAACAGCAGCAATATTCAAAACAAAAAACTGTCCAATCGCAGACATTTTTAAACATGGATTGCAATTTATTTTAGTCGTGTATGGTGGCCCAAAACAAAAGGTCTCCATTGATAATTAATTATAGGTATTTGACTTTTGCCAAATTGAGCAGAAATAATAAACCTGTCAAATTATCATCGCTTCCACCCACAACTAGTGCCACCCAACAGCATCCTTTTCGTGTTTATTGTCAAATACAAGTTTGGCTGGGTATTGGGTAACACATTAAATCCTGAACAGTAGGGGTGGGCTATGAATGACAATATTTTGGAACCTGTTAAGAAATGATTACCTGAAGAATTGCTAAATATGATTTTTTGTAACTGTACAAAAGTTTATGGTACTAATTGTGGGTGCAGAAAAATAATTCCGTCCATTCTAGTGACCTATTTGTAACCTATACTGTACAGCAGAGCAAGATCCACTTACCAAATTTTTATAATTTTTTTTGTTAAGGTATTATGTACCATATGAAGAAATTTAGAAATATATAAAAAATTAAAAGATTTTCATACGCGAACAGGACATGGGGGAAATGTGAATGGGGGCAAGGTTTCATAGTTGTAATTGTAGGGGCAAATGTGAAACAAAAGAATGTGTCTGTTTTAAATCAAATCTAAAATGTAATAGCCGTTGCCCGTTGTCATAATATACTATCCCATGCTCAAACAAATAATAAACTGCATGCTTTTAAGTTAAATTTTTAAAAATAATAATTGTTTTTTATTAATAATTTACAATATAAATTTACCTTTAAGTTTATTACAGTTTGAGTTATAATTATTAACATTTTTCATTTTTTTTTTTTTTTGATAATTCACAACATAAGTTTATCAGTTTCTTAGAATGAATGATTATTACAATTATTATACTTAAAATTATTATACAATAAAATGAGTTCCGTTGCTTACAGATGAGTAATATAAATTATGCCACGAGCTCCATACTATTAAAAATTCGTGTCCATTTCGTGAAAAGTTATCCACATTGTGAAATTACGCGATATGTAAAAAAAGAAGTCCCGTTTCGTGAACTGTATGAAATGTCTATATATTTCACAAAACAGGTCAGAAACTCAGATCGCGAAATGGATGTGACATATTATATAAACCAGGTTGGTTGTATACACGTCTTCATCATACAATGTGAGCTTTATTATGTGAATTATAAAAGTCTGTCGATTATACTATTGTAAGTTTATCTTCTCTTAACATTTGAATTTTTTCCAATTCGAACACTTTATATTATTATACAATATTATCATTGTAGTATTAACTATTACGAGTATTGCCATTTGCCGCTAAATAATATTATTACAACGGCCGATGATCTTGATGTCTTATCGTAAATAATAATTGTTATATGGTGCAAAGTGCAGACCACCTATTTAGATTAAAATATTCATTAGCTGCTGTATTATTTTATTATTATCGTTTAATCGGTCTTACCGTTTAACCTTTATAGCGCCTTCTCTTACACTGTACGCACACACACTAGCACGGTAGTCGTAATCTCCGATATTCGCAGCTCCCGCCGACTGCTGAGCCGTTATCAATTTTTTTTCAAACTCGTCGTTTTTAATCATTTTAGTTGGAATAATAGTGTTAATCATCAATCATCAATCGTTATTATTTATTACCGATATCGTTTAACGTGGCCCAACCTTTATAAATTATGTAGTCCCCATAATATTATAATAATATAATAAATAATAATATTACAATAGTGCGTGTGGCGTGAACGCCATAGAGTACGTACAATAACTTGTTGCTTTTTTTTTACCTGTTGCAATCATAAGTTATAACGGAAATCTAGAGTAATAGATTACAAACCCGTCGGATACGATGAAAATGTTTGGGTTAAAGAGAATCGTAGACGAGAAGGTCGACAAAACCGTCAATATGGCTTCAGACGTTATGAACTGTTTACTGGACTCGACGTACAAGGGTGGATTATTCTCAATGATTATCGTTACCATAGTATGGGTGTCCATATTTCTGTACATAGCATTCTATTATGCGTACATGCCTTCTCTCATGTTCAGCCGCCCGATTCACATGCAATTCAAGTGAGTATTGGCTTATAATGTCTTGTCATTCTTATACATTAACTGTATGCTTTTACATTACTGAAAATCTACTAAAATTTCTAGTAGAAAAAGTATGGTACCTACCTAACTGGACAAAATCATCCAAACAGCTTGCACCCCTATACAATTATGGGTAGGACAAAATATAATAATACAAAGTTTAATGTTAGTCAATTATTTACCATTTTTTAGATAGGTAACTGTTGTCTGTATACATATAGATGCTGCCTGAATAATTGCTTTATTATAGCCCAATCTATTATGTTTTTATCTTAAATGACTGGTCTGCTTAGACTATCAAAAAGGTAGGTATCTAAATAAAATTAAAGTTGTTTAATAACCATGAGCCAAGAATCATTATGAACTTTTAATGATCATAGTAATTAATAATTATATTATACGTTATTTTTTATGTTACTAATTATACTTAGTTGAGAAATTAATTTAAAAGTAATAATGATTATTTTACTTTCTATGATAGTAACAATTATATTTGTATTATACCTAACTGATAATTGGGTTTTATAATTAAATTATAATTGAAGTACAGAATGAATGGATCAGAATGGATCTTGATGTCTAATTTTAATATATTTTCTAACATTAGTAAAATTAATCATTTAAAAAAAAAAAATCGATCAATGAGAGAGTGTTGCTATTGGATGGCTGCTTTATTCAAAAATATTTCACTATTATTTATATAGTTTTACTATTGGCTATGTTTAAGAATATGTAATCCTTATTTCATACATTTTTTCTGCTTCTCTAGCCTTTGTTTGTTTCCTGTAAATATATATATATATATATATAATTTATTTATGGAAGTGTTTGGTAAAATGATTTATAATATTAATCCGATTATTATTCACAATGAATAGAATTAGGTAGGTACACTTTTAATATCTGAATACTTTTGAAATAGAGTTATATAAAATTATTGAAGAGTAAATAAATTAGATTTCTAAAGAAAAAAATGTAAAACAGGTATCTTATCTATTATTTTTATTTTTTATATGAAAATGTATATAAATTAATTTAAAATGTAATTGCATTTCTATATGGTTTAGATTTTAAATAATTTTTGTACCATTTTGATTTCAGATCATGTTACAGCAATAAAGGTTTATGTGATTATCCATCAGCACATGTTCAGTTAACTAAAAACCACCAGTTGCTAATGATTGGTCAAAAATATAAAATTACTGTTTATGTTGAGCTACCAGAATCCCCAGTGAATGAAGAAATCGGTGAGTTGACTGAAAACTAATGTTGTTAAGTTTTTTCAGTACACTTTAATATTCTGTCCTGTGTAATAGTACCAATATAAAATTATTAAATTTTGGCTTAATTTTATTTAAGGAATGTTTATGCTCTGTGTTCGTTTGAGTGACAAATTCGGCTATCTTGTATCATCTTCTTGTCGGTCCAGTAGATTAAGGTACAAGAGCCAACTGTATCGTGCTGTTCATACATTGTTCATGGTACCATTTTACTTGACAGGATTATCCGCAGAAAAACAATTAATCCAGTTAGAAATGTATACAGATTTTGAAGAAGATCAAGTACTTATACGTTTTTTTTGGCATAGTTTTGAATTAATATTTTATTATAAATTATGAATTATGAATTTTATCTATTAGTTACATCCAGTTACAGACATTTACTTTGAGATGTTAAATCATGATATTCAAATTTATTCTGCCAAGATAAATATCATTGCTAACTTGGGCGGCTTACGATACCTTATGTTTCATTGGCCGATATTATCTGCTTGTCTAGGAATTGGATCAAATCTTCTTTTTGTATTTTTTGTGTTCTCAATGTCATGGAGACATATATATGGATCTGAAGTTTATAGAAGTGAACCAAATGGTGAATAATACAAATTTTGACAAAATTTATTTGTTTTTTTCATTAGTATTTTAAATTTGTACTTATTTGCAGATCTTTTGAACCGAACGGGCATCGAGCAATTGGATGAATTTGATTCTGAGGATGAATCCGAAATATCAGATGATTTATGCAAAAAAGGATTTCTCCCTTATAGTTTTTCATCATCCAGCCTAATGATTCCTGAGCAATAATTAATATTCTTATTTTTAACTAGTAATATTTTGATTTATCATAACTAGATAATGGTGTAATTTATAACTGCTAGGTTAGAGAAACTCTTTTATTGTAGGTACCTATAATATTATTGTAATCTTTGTTTTAGATTTAAAGCTGATGGGTACTAGAAAAATATAGAGTATAAACTATTCAATTGTTTCTGTGGTGCTTTTATTTAGTGTTTTTTATTTTACTTAAAATTAATGTGTTTAATACTTATTATTATTCCTTAATTAATTTTGTTTAATTGGTTGTTTGTTAAGGGAATTATATTTTTTTTAGTTTTATATCCCATTATAGTTACCAAATTCTATTGTTATAATACCTGTATAATTTTAAAATTTGAAGCATTTACTATTTGTATTTTAGTATGTACTATAAGCACAGGAAATGGAAGCATTAACATTTTGCTGTGCTTATTGGAATAATGTGAAAAAAATTTTGTATGCAGTTTTTAAAAAAATGTATAAAGAATAAAAAATTGAAGTAATATATTCAAATTATATTCATAAGTTATTTTATGTTATTGTTAAACAAATGCACCAATATTAAGTTAATATATTTGCATATCAACTTTGTGCCAATTCATATTTTAAATGCTGGATGAAATAATGACAGACATTTTTACAAAATACAGATGAATATTAATGCTTATTAATTGTTTGTTCATCTCGCAATTTGCACGTGTATGCATACTTAAGTATTATTTAGCAAATATTATTTAAAATTGATCATATTAAAGTTCTTCTGAACTTCTTTTGTATTTTATGAAATCTCATTTATCAGCCAATTGATAAATTATAGTTTATTTTGCTTATCAAAAATGTATCATTAGAGCAAATCATAAGTATCATAAAATTTCAAAAATTAATTTATACATAAATTAATATATTTATATCGAAATGTGGAAAATATTTTTAAAACAATCAAGTTTTAATATAGTTTATTACAAATGTTTAATATGATGCATTGACTGTCCTGCACACATCAATACGTTATTCAAAGTATGGAATTATTTTTATTTTTGTCCATATTGATGCTAACATCTCAATTACTAACTCACAATTTATTAAGATACATTTATCGTTAATGATACCAAAAATAAACATGATTAAATTATATACTATAATCCTTATTTTTATATTAGTATATTCCTAAGTTGTTAACCTGTAATTTGTATTTGCAAGCTATATCAAATTGTTTTTGATTGAAGACTTGAACTGCCCGGTATTTACACTAATTCATTGACGTTGTCAAATTTGTATAAAATATGAGACTTGAAAATGTTGACAAATGCTATACTGTATAGTGTATAGCTATTCAATATTTATAAATTATCTTTATATAGAACCTTTCTTTTGTATTGGATTTAAAATATTTAGTAGGTACTTTATAATTAATATGGTTGCTTGGATTTTTAATTTGTTCAGGGAATTCAACAGGGCAAAAAAAAAACTAAGATATCTTAAAGAGTTCTTTAAGTATGCATTTAGAACTAAAAACTTAAATACTTGCAAACACTCTTTATAATAAGACTTTTTTAAATGTCATGAAATACTCTCATAAACTCATAAAGTTAGATTTACAAGTATAGCATTTTACACATTTTTAATTAAACACAATGTTTATTTTGAAATTTGGCAGTAAAAAATGTCTGTTTATAAATACAAGATGACTGCAATATCACAAATTATAAAATGCAATATCTCCACAACACTAAGTAGGTTTTGCATTCAACATTATCAAAAGATAATACGTTTTTAATTAGCGAAAAAATGACACAAATCATAATAAGGCAGTCTTGAATTTTGACTTCAGTGATTAATTGGAAAAATTAAAATTCGTACACCACCGTCCACCATCAAGTACCTAAATATGGCTGTCATCTTGCTTTGAAAATTAAATAAAAATGGTATAATTTAATACTGTCACATATTTTCAGTTAATAATATTGAATGTGAGGATATTGCATTACATATATTATATAGAGCTATTTTTGTTTAATTCAAAAGTACCCATAACACAAATTTAATGAATTTTGAGTTCTAGATGTGTGAATTGCTAACCGTCTATTTACAGGAGTTCAATATAGGCAATATGACAAGTGGCATGTTATAGATAGTGTATTTGTGAACATATAGGCGCATAGCGGCATAGCAAATAATCATTGTAGTGCGACACTGATTATAAGGCATAACTTAATTTATTTATACATCAATGAGCAATAAATCGAAAATTTAAGCCTCTAATCAAATATTATAACTTATAACAGTTGAAATGCGAGAAATATAGCAACTACAGTTGAATAAATATGTTTATTATTTAATACAGACGAATAATAATTTGTTTGGAGGTATTTTAAAGTCGAAATTAACAAATATTACTATTTTACACACTTTTAGGGCAATGGTCAAAGTTGTATAGGGTCAGAAGTTATAAACACTTTTTGTTAACTTTTTTGAGTACTTATTAATTATTTATGATTACACAATTTTTAAATTTATACTCTATTTTTAAAATTTCGTACTGTACATTAGTCATTTAAATACCATATCCCGTTATTATTACAAGTTGATGTTGTAAAAATAAATAAATAGACAAAAACCAGATAATATTGTCATTTATGACTCTAAATTCAGTTAATAAGATTGTATTTGGTTAATTATAGGTTGACATTGTGTACATTTCGTATAATTTATTATATTGATGAAATCGATGAATAGTGGGTGAAGTATTAATGGGTATTTCCATTCACAATAAAATAGTAGGTATCTTAAACTGAAGGCACGCCTGCTGTGCATGAACTTTCAACTCCACATTCATCTGTGCCTCTGAGAATTTTAAACATTCCTTTGTCACCCCATTGTTCACCCCAAGAATTGACCATCAGCCAATACGGTGTACCTTCTTCTACGCCCCATCCGATCATTTTAACTGCATGCCCTCCCAGGTACGATGCGTTCTCGGTCTTTTGGTAGACTCCTATAAAAATATATATTATTATAATATTATACATGATGGAAATATTGCAAACATGCAATTGCCACTATAAAAAATTACACATATTATTAATACAATATTAATAGTTTAGCTTACCAGCCATGGTAGTCTATGTTAGTGTTATGAATAAGTTTGTAGATTATAAATAAATAAGACACGTACCAGATTCGTAACTCGTAAAGTCATCGTAAACGTCGAACGACGCCTCAATGGGTCCGTACACCATCGTGTCTTTCTGCATGGTAGTGTTGCTCAGGTAGTATGCGTCTTTCGCTATATAAACATACAAAATGGAATTAATTTTGTGAACTATTACACGACCGGCCTAACAAGAAACGTTTGAATATGTTCATTTCGATTTACTTTTGTAATGGTTTTTCTTGTAATTGATTGTTTCGTCACCGTAACATTTCTTTGAACATTTATGATTACGTTCGGTTGGCTGTCCCGAGCATGAATTATGTCCCTCATCATCTCTCACGCAAGGCGGTACTCTGTACGGTTGGCATCCCTATACATGATACATTATGAATTTATGATATTTTTAATTTGTAGACCATTATAAACTTGAATGTGTATTTAAATATTTTATGTTAAATTGCTCAAATGACTTATTGTCGATAAAGTTTAAACATTAAGGCATTATTATTATTAATTTATTTATCATTTTACGTCGGTAGTGTTGTAGTTGCCTCCGGTGACAACGCCGTGTCTTTTGAAATATTTCCAAGCTTTCAAAGGGTTACCTCCGTTACATCCAAAACCGCATGTGTGACAGCAAAACGTTAGCTCTTCAGCGGATATGAGTTCATTAAATTCTCCATCTGTCGCTATACACAGTCGGTCAGCGAACGCTCCGGTAGTACCATGAGCCTGTACATTAATTTTATTTAATTGAACAACATAGTGTAATAATATAATACAATACATCGAGTGTAGTTGGTGAGTACTTGTGCAACAGATATTTTATGCACAACGTTATTCGTTCATTACCCAACAGGATCCACAATTTCCTTGATTACGGACTTCCCCGATTGTTTTGCAATTTTTCCATTCCAATCTTGAGTCGAAAAATTCTGGAACTTCGCCATTGTCCACGTACAATATATCATTTTCCTTGATTGGACTTTTATTAAGACCTAAGAGACGCTTCGAGCCTAATAACCGAACGATATCTTCTCTTGGCGTATTTTCAGGAAAATTTTGTTTGGCCTAAAGAACATTAATAATACATTTTTTAGTGTTATAAAAATTGTATTACAAAATCTTATTTTTACAAATATGCTATAGTTGTATTTTAATTTAATTTAGTTTACAAATATGCATCACGCCTAATTGTCTATGTTATTTACATTTTTTTTTATTTACAAGATTATTTAAGGTACTTGAGCTAAAACCATTTAAATTGTATTTAAAACACGATGTAAAAAAATAACTGTTACGTATTATATACTTTTTAAAAATTAATATTTTTTTATACATTTACGTACACATATTATTATTATGTATAATAATATGTATGTAATCTATATTTGATAGTCAATTACATTTTTGGTACATTAAAATAGGAATACTTGAATCTTACCTTCCAAGTCTTAGCAACTTCGTTAATTTTGTTTACATACTCTTTACTTAAGAAATGTGCTTGTTCTGTAAGGTATACACTCAGTAATACCACAGATATCAAAATTACGAATTTTACCATTATTATTTTATAAAAATGAAAAAAAAGGTTTAATTACTGTTCATACGTGTTTATTGTGGAGCAACACAATAATAATTAATATAGTCGGTGTAGGTAATTTATATAGTTTTTCTACAGCATACTCTTACATCATGACTCATGTAGGTACACACTTTAGGTTCATGAGGAAGAAAACACTTTTATTGTAATTACGTTTCAAACGTCTTATCGGTTTTTATTTTATTATTTAAACAATACTATCAGTAATATGTATTAAAATATTACAGATCGTATACAATTTACTAATGGATTCTCAAAACGCAAGAAAACGATTAGATAGTTAATTATTCTTGTGTAGGTTTTTGTCTATCACAAATATGATTTCTTTTTTATTGGATAAATATTAACAAGCGTTTTTATACCTTATTAAATTATTTTAAATTTAATTTATGATGGAAAAAACAAGACAGTTAATTAGTAAGGGATGAAAGCAGTGTTTAAATTGGGAGTATATAAGAAGGAGGATACAAAAGTGTTAAAAAAATGTGCACATTTGTGCACTAATAAGTACCTGAATATTTAAATGTTTTTTTGAGTAGGATTTAATTAGAAGAGGTACACATATAATATGTTCTAAAAATGAGAGGGACTCCATCCTCCTATAAGTCATAAATGTATTATTCCAAGAACTACTCACTATGGTTATGTAAACATTTTAAAGTTATTCAATTCAGAAACTCTAAAAATACGTAGAAATTCATCATACAACAACTTTCTTTCCAAATTGCTGAGTAATGAGATAGATGATTCATTTTTA